AGTACTGTTTGGTAACTTTGTTTACTCTGCAATGTTTTAGGGACCTCTTACTGACCTATTTCTTCTGGTCTGTCTTGTTCCCAGCTGCTTCCTGTGTTTTTCTTGCAGATCCTTCTCTTGTTTGATTTTAATATGTAATTCCTACTTGCTAATCACTTTATTTGGACAGTTAGAATATTTTATGCTGATCTAGTTTGCAGCTCTCTAGTTGCATGGGTCAGGTCAAGAAAGCAAAGGGGAAACAGGCTTTCATATCCAGCACTCAGTTATAACAGGCTGTGGTGAAGGAATAATCGCTGTTATATCTGAAGTGGGCTGAGGCTGGAGCATAGAACTACAGGATAATTGAGATGGAAGAGACCTCAGGAGGTCACACAGGTCACTACTCTGCTCAGTGCTTAGCCAGATTGAAACTTAGGTGAGGTTATTCAGATCATGTCCACTTGCTTTCTGAGTATCCTCAAGGATGGAGGCTCTGCAGCCTCTATGAGTAACTTATTCCAGTGTTTGACCACTCTCACTATGAATTTTTTTTTCCCCTAAGGCCTACCCAAAGTTACCATATTGTGGCTTGTGTGCATTGTCCCTTGTCCTATGCTGTGAACCACCAAGAAGAGTCTGGTTCTTGCACTCATTAAAAACAACAGATTTTTTTCAGATGCTTAATAACACACTTTGAGGAATACATTTAACTTGTCAAACAGGTGAAAACCAATCCTCTTCAAGCCAGTCTTTTACACCTTATTCAATAGCATGCTGATCAAATCCAATGAATGATGTTCTTTTTCTTTTTCTTTTCAATGTGGGCAAAATAAAAATGTTTTGCTGGCCTTGTTTTCTGAAACCACTGGGGTGTTTGAAATTTCTCCTTTCTTTCTCCCACGTGATCATGTATTGTAGTTTCCAGCAGGTGCTTGCCTCATTATGTGCAGTGAATGGATGCTGGTGGTTTAGGAGGTAGATCTGTCTCCAGTCTGAGCTTCTGAAAGCTAGCTATCTTGTCCTGTGGTTTGGGGTTGGGTTTTTCTTTTTTCCAACCTCATTAGGTCGATGGACCCCTACATAGCAAATTTAAACCCACTTACAATTGGCTACCTTTCAGGGATCTGTTAGAAATAATCTGCAGAGGACTATGGTGATGCTGAGGTAGTTTCAAGTAGCCTTCCAGGCACAGTCAATGGAGAAAAAATAAGCTTGTTCAGAAAGTGGTTTATCCCACCTACGGCTGAATTACTTCCTCTGTGTCTGCTTTGTATCATGAGAGTCTTAATGATGTTTTTAGCCTTGCTGTCCAGCTTTTAGGTCAGCTGTATTTAAGTAAGGTTAATCCTTAGTGAGCGCCTTCACAGTCCTTTGTTTTCTTATAATTATTCAATATATAGTCACATGCCCTATGTACAACCCATTCTGAATGCTTAATAATTAACTTCAGTGTTTGTTTTTTCTGTGGTGGTGTTCATCCCTATAATATCTCAGTTCTTCAGGAACGTTAAATTATTTTTGTTACCTCACTATTTTGTGCAAGCTATCTTCTCATTTTAAAGATAGAAAATGGAAAAAAAAGTGATAGAAAAAGGTTCACAAACAAGAGGTGTTCTGTTTGGCTTGCTTTGAGCACAAGGGGAAAACCTTGCAACAAAGTGGAGAAAATATGTGTATTTTTAATGCAATTTGTGAAATAATAATCCTGTCTTTCTAAAGATGTCTTAGAACTTCAAAACCTGACATAACTTAGAAGTGGTTATTGCTATAACCTCAGTAGTGTAATTCACAAAATTATCCCTTTCAAATGATTGTACAAGGTTCATTGTGTGTAATGACAGAAAAGAAAGTATGATGTCTTGTGAAAAACATAGACGACTTTTTTTGTCAAAGACTTGAAAAGTAATGTGAAAACACATGATATTATGTGTTGATTAAATTTTATCTTCAGTAGATAGTACTCCAACGAGCCCTCTATTACTTGATCATTTTGATTTAGACTCTTCTGTCAGTTTGTCACTTCTGAATTTTCTCTAGATGTTTTTCTGCAGTCTTACTTGGTATTTGTGGATGTGTTTAGAAATACATACATGTAATGCATTCAGGATTTTTTTTCCCTGTATCGCTAACTGTATGTGTATATGCTTTTGCATAGATAAACTCCAGAGTGCAGGTAATTATTTCAAGTGCATTTGTATCCAGATTTCCTGTTCTTTGTCTTACTACTGAAATGATTTTAAGAAACAAAATAAAAAATCTCCAAAAATCCAAACTTCCTACATCTAGCTAAAGACATGCCATGAAAATTTGAAGGAATAGGAGTGTTATGTTTGCACTTCATTCTCTCAGCAGTGCACACATGCACCCTGGTACCCCAGACCTTCATATGCTTGTATTAAATACTCAAAAAATCAGTGCATGGCCTGGAGAGGAACTATCTAGGGTTTATTTTGGGAAAAATCAATTGAGTAGCAGTGGAGCCTCCCAACTCTTGCCTTATTTCTGATCTGTAGGGTTCATGAGTTGGTAGAACTGAGAAGTTAATTCCATCTTTTCACACTACTGAATTCATTCAGCATGTCTGCTTAGGCTCCAAGTGTGTCATTTATGATAAGGAGGTGACATTTAAAAGAAATTTGGCAGTATTTAATACTGACTCATACAGACATGTTCGGAGTATTTATAACAGGGAGAGGTTGTACTATGCTTTACTGGTATCAGGACATCTGCTTCTGTCATAAGAAATTTCCATCGTATTTATTATGAGGATAGGGACAGGGCTAAGTACATTTGCTTACTGAAGTTAGGAGTCTCTTTCCTCCCCATGCCATTAATTTTGATAAGAAGGTAAGTTCTGATTGCATTTATCTTTTCTGGAAATAACAAATCAAAGCATAAACAATCAGTAGCACTTCTGCTGTTAAACTGTTAGATCCAAATGAACTGCATTAAATGCAAGGCCACCACAAATGACAGACTTGAAAAAGCGTCTCCACAGTACAGTGGCAAGAAGGTGATATACTTTGAGTTATCAGCAAGGCTGAAAATATTAATAGTCCCTGTATATTCACTCTGATTTCCCACTGTTTTCAAAGTCTGTATCTGTTCCTGGATATTCAGCTGTTTGAATAATCAATTACATTCTTCATTTCTTGATGCAAATATAAATGAGTATGAATTAGGCATTGGTTTAGGGACTGACCAGCCACTTTGGTGGTTTTCCAAGATTTTGCACTTCTAAAACAGTGAGGAACATAGATGGTCTTGTTTCTGTTATGATGTTTCATGGGATCCTGACAATCTCCAGAGCACACTGAGGATCCCAGCATCCTAACTCCAGGAGGGGAGGGCCTGGTGAATCACTCCTGGGGTAGGCTGGTGTCAGCTGTTGACAGGGTAATTTGGAACTCTGGAATGGACCTGTTAAGCATTATGCAGCTCTTATATAGAAGCGTACATCTGACTCAGTTTTTCAGGCAGCACAAATGTATGCAGGCTGATACAGATACATAGAGGTGTGGAGTTCATACACAGTACTGTTAAGAAACAAGGTAATTAAAATAGGTGTCTGAAACAGTCTAGAAGAATTTGCTTTCCTGAAATGCATGTTCCATCTGACTGCTGAGTAAGCTTATTTTATTACCTCAAAGCTGTGTTGAAGCCTGAGTAGGAAGAGAATGTGTGTGTGTGTGGAAAACAGATACTAATAAGGAAACAGACTTCCTTAAGGTCTTAAATTGGGGCTTCAAATTGATGAGCACTTACCAAAGTTGCCAGACATTGCCAAAAGGCCTACCCAGTTCATTACCCAGCCAGATCACTGCTGTGTTCCAGGTATTTCAAATAGCTGTTGTCAACATCATGAAAAAGATAACTCATTCCTTGAAAACATTTTCAAAAATACATGTAGTCAACTGTATTTATCAGTTGATTAACAGCCTCTTACCTGAGAAATTGGTGTGGTCACTCATACAACATATCATAGTTTAAGATTAAACATATAAGTGATTTTAGACTAGTATTTGTGAATACAAAAGAAATTTAACCCATTTCTTCCCTCACCTGGGAGAAAAGGTGAAGAACTGTCATTGATTCTGTCTGATATAGTCAGCCTGCTTCTTTCTTGGAACTAACCACCACCAGAGAATCTGAAAAATGTTGGTTGTAGTTAACAGTCATGTGGGACTTGTTTGAACGAAGCATCAGGCATCTAGAGCAAGTGCTACTGTAGTAAGTGTTTCCTAGAGGGATGCCAGCCAATGAATAGCTGTGAGAAACACTGCTCAGTACATTGCCTGAGGAGACTACTGATTTATGAAAGCTCAAATCTCTCTTCAGTTGCTGTCAGCAGGTGAGGCAATATGGTCTGTATGCCACCACTGTATAGTATAGTGAGGCAAAGCTAAGCAGGTTTATATCTGAAACGGTTCACTGTATGGCAAAACCATTCTCTGGATTAAAGACTGCCTTGCTGGTTATGGGTCTTTGAGGTGTAGGCAATGAGGAGATTGTTCTGCTCTTTGTAACTGATTAATATGCCTGTTAAGTAAGAACTGAACTTCCTTTTACCAGGTTAGAGTTGCTACAGTCATGCAAAATAGTGTATGGTTAAGATGCATTCTGCAATTTTAAGTTGCATCCATTCATACTGGTTCTAGAAGGCCTGATGCTCTCCAGTTTTGTTTTAGCTTGGCTACAGTATCAGGGAATTGCTAGTTATTCCTTAGTCTCTGAACTAGCTTTCCTAAATATTTTGAATTTGCAATTTTTATGCTGTTAATGTTAAACATAAATGTTGTGTTGGGGACTGGATTTTTATTTTAGTTTGTACAGAGGATATTTATAGTTTTAGATGCAAAAACCTGAAAAGTATTTTTAAGACACCTGGCTCTACTTTGTAATGTGGTTAACTTTCATCAGGTTTTGTGGGGGGGGGGGGTTGTCTGGTTTTGGTGGGGTTGTTTTTGGTGTGGTTTTTTTTTTTTCCTGCCATTAATAGCATTGCATCGCAGGTCTTTCAGATTACTTCTCTCAAAAAAGCCTGAAGAGAACAGATTGACCTCGCGCAGTTCTGAAACATCCTTCAGCTGGGCATAGTGGAACAAAGATGAGAGAAATTATTTCATTCTGAAATTCTTAGTGGAAGATGGTATACAAGATCGCTCCCTCTCAGAGCCAGGACTTGGGTCTTCAGGAGCATCAGGAAAGAGATTCTATTCTAACACCCAGAAGTTGAAAGACTATGCCATTCTCAGTATGTGAATTGCTTATTCAAGCTGGAGCAGGGAGTTTGCGAGAGAGTGTGTGTGTGTGTTAAGAACATTATTGCCTTTCTAGATTCATTTATGTGCTCACTAATCAGGGTGACTCTATGCTGTTTAAAATATAAATGTTTTTGAGCCTATTTCCGGTGTACAGGAGGATATGGTTTGGGAATTTAGCTTTCTGCAGCCAGATGGATTATAGTGTTGCTAAGGAAACAGACTATAAATGAAGTGGCAGCTGAGTGTCCCTAGAATATCAGACTGCTTGAAGCTGGTATTTTAAACTCATTTAGGTGGGTAGATAAATTGATGATGTGGTGAGAAGTTAATTTCCTCTATTTTATGGTTTGTTAATTTTCATTGCTTTGTTAGTATTTACAGAGGATACCTTCACTTCCCACTCATACCACCTGATGTGTGGCTCACTGAACAAAAAAATTTGCAGTTAAAATTAGAAAATGGACAAGAGCTGTACAGTAAAACAGATCCTAAAATAATCATTAAAACTACTGCTCAGCGCATAGATAATGTAACAGAGACCTGGTAGCAGTATGGTCCTGAAAAACAGGGGCTAGGAAGGCCGCTGAGCTTCTTCAAACTACATGGGGAAGAATAGAGCTTCTACAGACCTGGTAAAGTTAGATTTTGTACTTCATGTATAAGCTGCTTAAAATAGGTTATACCCATTTGATTTACATATGTGAAGTAGCAAGTAAATTGAATTGTATTTTTGAGAGTTGCTCTGACAAAGAAGAGGTCTTGTCTCTTTTTTCTAATGCTTTTTGCTGAAAATGCATCAGGTTTCCAATCCAGGGTTATTGACTGATAGAGCAGGATTTTTTTTTCTTCCCGCCCCTCCGCCCCCCTGGAGGACAGCAAGCATAGCTCGGTCATTCTGGCTGAGCATGAGGCTATAGGAATAAAGACTTAGCTGAACCCAGAGGACAGAGAGCAACCACTGCTGTTGATAAGATGGGCTGATTGGACAAGGAGAAGGCAGGAAGATTTCTGAATAGCCTGAAATACCTGCAGACTTCAGCCTTGTAAAAGCGTGTAAGTATGATGTGGAGCCTCCCTGTCCCACTTACCAAGGTCTCCAGTGTAAGAGGTCAAGTAATGTGCCTGTTTCATATTGCTTGCTTTACTTTTAAGTGTGTTATATTCCTGCAGTTAAAATCCCTTCTTTGGAGCCTGATGGCCTTCAAAACTGAAATACTAGAGAAAGTAGTGGTGTCCATGTTCTCAGCATTGTGTGAGTTGTTTAAGATAAAAGGAATGACTAGACTGTATCTAGAAAGGATATATTTAGAGTTGCACCCACTTCTAAAAAAACCTGATGATAACAAGTGGATGGATAGTGAAAGGCAACACAAAAAACTAATGCAAGAGTCTGTTTTGAAGGTGTATCCCATGCATACAAAGGAGTAAATTCAAATATACAGGCAAATAGTTAGAACTTTATTCAGATGTGTGTGCCTATCTACTCAAAACGAGACTGATGTGGAGCGAATATGCATGAGTTTCACAGGCTATGTTTGCTTAAGAAGGAAAGGAATAAAACTGGGCTGGGAGGACAACAGGCAATGTTTGAGTCTGTAAAGCTTCAGAAATTTGCCCTAGCTACTTCTGTAACAAAAACGAGATCTGGAACGGTCTTTGTAAGACTGAAAATGGTAAGAACATGACAAGCAAATACAGTTTGTGAGCTAAATATGAAATAGAAGGCCAAGAAGGAATTTAAAGTACATATAGGTGGTTGGTAGAATTGCTGTTCTATGTTTTCTGGTTTGAAATGAAACTATTTTCAGTAAAATACATTCTGGAAAATGAGTCATTGTTCCAGCAGTGTTAAACCTCTTCAGCATGTGGTATTTAAACTGTTATTTAGAATACATTGCAGAGAACTGTTTCTGGTCTTTTCAAGCCAGGTGGGCAGCACATTGTGGAGATGGCATTAAGTGCACCATAAGTTTTCCCTCCATGTTTGTCATATGACTGGATTTAGCATATTTATGTGAGTACTGTCAATCTACATATGGATCAGGATCTGCCGGACGTCACTGGAAAGAGTAGCAAAGAGCAGGCTATAGCTGTCACAGCATGTAAATCATTACTTTTCCTTTTAATTGCCCCTTCAGGATTGAGACTTTAATTGTTATGGTGGCTGTTTACTCCCTGAAGGATGCTTTGCATCTTTCCTGAAAGTCTCTTTCTCATCTTCTGACAAATTGTGTGCATGTTGTGTGGTGGAAGGGGCTGTAGCACCCATGAGAAAGCTGGCAACAAAGAGGAAGCTGTAGGTTGGATTAACTGTTGCTGCAAAGTGCCCATAGGAAAGGGACAGTAGGAAGAAGACAGCAAGCCTGATGAAAATGTTCTGAGGGATTAATTGTGGCTCTTTTACTGTTGATTGAACTGGAATGAGAAGTGTTTTGAGGGAACGAAGTAAATGTACTGTACTGTAGCCAGGTGTGCCAGAGCAAGTCTTGTTAAAGTGAATCTTTTTTGTGTAAACAAAATAATGATGTATAAACAAATAATTTTGGCTTTTATTGCAGAGATTTTTTAGAAATATATATATGTTTATATTCAACAAGATTTTAAATGGAAAAAAATGTTAATTATTTGATAGGCAAAAAATTCTCTAGAATTTATTTTTAGCAGCTACGTGAGTGGAAGGGAGCTGCTACCAGAAGCTTGGCTATTATGTCTGGAGAAGGAGAGTGGTTTTGATAGAAATAAAGAGAAAATAATCAGAAGATAAGACAAAAATATTTAACTTTAAATCAGTCCCAAAGACAGGCAGAAAAATTACATTTTTATGGACAGTCATAATACCTTCTGTAGTATCCTGATACTGAATGCATTAAAATGACCTGCAAACCTTCCCCAATAGTTTAAAATACTTTTTTTTTTCTTTTTTTCTGCTTAGAAATACATCTCTTCTGACTTCATATGTGGTCTTTTTGATGTAGTCAATGTTAATTTTAACATTTTTGGAGTTTTTAAAGAGATTTATAGAAAGTACAAAGGCAAGAGTTTCGTTTTTTTGATCTGTATGGTGGATGTCATTACACTTGTTTTCTTATAAATCTTGAACATAACTTTGAGTTGTTATTAACTTTTGTCTTCTAAAAAAATTATACAGATCTTGGTCTGAATTTTTCAACAGTTGCTGAATAGTTGCAATTGAATTAGAAATTACGTTACATTTATTATTCTATTTCTAGTTATCCTGCGTGCAAGATGGTAAATTCCGCACAGTATTTTTACAAGATCAGTTTCATATTGAAATTGAGACCAAATAAACTTTTCTCTAACTATAGAAATGTTTTGATGTATTTTTCAAAAGGATTTAATTGAGCATACTTAAACTCCTTTCAGTTAAGTGGGGAGTTATGGCCTTGAGCTACCAAAGTGGAAGACAGCATGAGTTAATGGGTGACTTCTTCCTGGTAAGGTAATGTGCTTTCAAAATCACCAGATTGATTCATTTTAATATTTTGGTTTGTAAATTTAATCAATTTTCTAATCTGTTTGTGATGGGTGTCCTAAGCCCTGCCTGTCATGTCTGTGCAGAAATTGTTCGTGCTAGTATTGCATTGGATATGAATTTATGTGATATGTAATCTCACCCTGAGAGTTGTTCAAATGGTAACTCTCATTTTAACTGTCTTTTTTAATGTTTGGTATGAGTAGATTTCTAACTAGAACTGTTTCTCAGAAACAATTGCTATCTTGAAAGTGTTACATGAAAATACATGCGCTCATGCTCGTATGCATCCACATATATACACATGTTCCTGTGTGTATATACATGCACATATATGTATCAGAAAAATGTATTAACAGCGTAAATACGCATATAAACTGAATTTATGTTTAATTCTCAGCTAAATCTTACCCTTGCAGCCTTTAAGTACTTTCAGAGCAGGATTCTGCAAGTAGTCACCTCATTTAACTTGCTAGCAGCACCTGTTCTCTGTGCACCAAGTGCTGAGAAGTAAGATCCGTAACATCTATATTACAGGAGCAAGACTCTTAGGCAGCATCACAATTTGACTGTTGTATGAGCTGTATCCTTGTAGGAAAAGCAGAATCAGGGTAGATTGCTTTGTTTTGGGAACTAAACCAAACCACGGGAACCATTGTGGGCAGCACACTATGTGAAAATAGTACAAATTCAGTCATCCTAATCACTTTTCCGTTAGCATCCCTGCATCATTTCATAAAAAGATGATTTTTTGTTAAAATCAATTTTGTTTCAAAAAGCAGGTATCTTTTTGTGAAAGAGCTTAATAAATTCCATTAATTTAGAATGCTGTTGATGATGGGATTGCCATTTTTGCGGATGAATTTTATAAAACCTTGCATTTTGGTAGAAGGTAGCTTGCTAACGGCTGTTGTCAAAAGTGCAACTAACAAGAAAATCCATCTTTCCCTGTTCTTAGCAGAAAGTAGTGCAATAGTGTGTCTGGTGTACTGGGACGCTACAACAGAGGCAGGAGTGATGTAATATGAGGAGCCTGTAGATCTTTACCTTATGGCATCTGACAGTGGAACATCTTAACAGAATTCAGTCTTCTGGTCAGAAAATATACTGGAAAAGTTGTGCTAGTTGAAAAGCCAGAATAGCCTTAGGATAACTGTTGAAACTTTCTGACTAGAAACAGGCTTTTTTACTTGCCTATTATCTTCTTCTGATAGACTGACTTTTTAGTGAAGAAAGGAAGCTTTCAGTATCTCAGTTTATTTTTGCCCATATTTTGACTTAATATCCCCAAAAAATGCTAAGAAAGCCTGCTAAAAACCGGCCATGGACTAGTTGCCACTAGACATAGAGAACTGTTGGTAAAGTACATGGCGGAAGTTTGAAAATCCGTGGCATATTGAAAACACATCGTAATTTTCAAGACCTTCTCTTGCCTTTTACTAAGTCTTTAGTGTAATGTGAATGCTTGTGGGAAACATTTTAAAGTTTAATGGTGTGTAAGGTCTCTGTGATTTTTAGTTTCACTGTTTCAGTTATTTGGAAGTGACAGTTCCTGGTTTGGGGAATCAAAATAGACTTAATAAGATGAAAATTCATCTATCATCAGTAATTACAAGTTTTGCACCATTCTTGCTTATGGCACAGCACTGTCTCGAATGTAAATACCTTTTAGTATATAAAAGCCAAATCTAGATCTTATGGCTTGATATGTGTACACCAACATCTCAGAGCTTCAGGTGAGATAGGTTGACGCTTTTAAATTTGCTCGTTAGGGTCTACTTTAGTCCAGATTGATGCTTCTGCTTCGCAACTGGGGAGCTGGGTTCAGGAAGGAGTGAATGAGGAAGAGGTCAGTACTGCCCATTCAGTAGCTCTGCCAGCTCTAAATGGTGGTAGCATCAAGGTTGTAATTCCACAAGTAGAGTTCTTTGCAGGTAACAGGAATCCGTGCATTCATAATTTCATTGTAGGATCATGAAGAGTTACAGAGCTTTCCCCCTCTGTTCTTACAAAAAAGCCTGACTAATCATTTATAATGGGAAGAAAAAAGGAATGTTCTTTGGAAACAGTGTTAACTGCTGATTTCCAAGAGAAAACTGCACTAAGCAGCCTTGCTCAGTTAAGAGGAAGGTCTGTAAGGTACTCAAATTTAGTAACATTTTCCAGATTTTGAAAGTCCTTTTATTTTTAGCTTCTTGGAGCCTTGAAGTGGAAGAACTTTCTAGTGTATGATAATGTTTTGAATGCTTTTCTAAATTTATTTTAAAGATGCTTTCTATAAACATTTAAGTAGAGAAAAGGAACTGTTCTTATCTAGGGGAATGTGGTTGTCTGGAGCAAAGACCTGGCAGGTTGTTACTATATTTAATCTGTCCAAGTTCCTGGCAGAGTCTTCTGTCTGCTTGCAAAGCTGTTCGCTTCTTTGATACTTCAGGAAGCCTAAGAGGGAAGATTAACAGTTTATAATGCTTATCTCAGTAAAGGGGAAACAAATCATTTGGTGAAAATCTGTAATAGTATAATGGGTACATTTTATTTTATACATAAATAAATCCTGTTTTTCCTTCCCACCTTGTTCTGTGGAATAAATAGAAGTATCAAATTGTGGTGCTAATGGAAAACAATTTGTGTTAAAAGATAATCAGAAAAATCTTTCAAACACTGATTTCAGTTGTGGCCATAATTGTTGAATTGTGGCTTCAGTGGTGAAAATGGGTTTATTCTGCAGAAGGTGAATTTCTCAGCAGGTGCCAGTCCAGCTGATCAGGCCTTATGTTTTGGGTGTTTGAGGTTGGGTTGAAGTTGGTTGCAGATACAGAAATTCAGCACTCAGATGGTTGGAGGAACCAGGACATTATGAGTGATTTTAAAGTACTGTTAGTTTTTATTGCTTCCCATGTAGAAGGTCATTGTGCACTTCTTGGCTGGTTTGTCCTCCAACCCCTGTGTAGAGCATTTACATAGAAACTTGTTCGTGAAGGATCCTGACATCTTTTTCTCCACTGTGGAGGTGACTTACAGATGTTCTATTAGTGGCTTCTGGAAAAAAATTAAAAGTTGTATAGCCTTTTAAAAACTAGCATGTGAATGTATGTGTGTCCCATGTATTTGTCCTTTTGATTATTATATATAAACAATATAAATAAATCAGGTCACTGGGATCTTCTAGTGTGACATAAGCTCAGCTTTCAAGGCTCACTGAGATTTTCTGGCTTTCTTCTGAGAGTATATGGAAAAGCTACATTGAAAACTTCTGTTCTCAGTTAACAACAGGTATGTTGTGATAAAATATGCAACTTTTTAGTCATGCTAGGTCCAGTTTACAGAAATCATTTTAACTTGAGGCGTAAGAGCTTTGTGCTGATCGATTGGTGCAAGAGTATGCAGAGGAAGTGCTGAGATCCTGCATTGAAACTTTCATAGTTTATTCTTCTCTGTGCCTTTATACTTATATCTTTATACTTATATCTTTATGCTAATAGCTTCTTCAAGATGTTCAGTAGCCACCTGTGGACTTAAGTGACATTTTTTCTGAGCAGCTTTGGGTGTCTCATTATCAGGATCCTAATATTTTAAAGCTAAGCATGTGTTTTAACAGACCCAGTAAGATTTATGGCAGCTAACTGTTGTGTGCTTGTCTACGAATTAAATAAATGCATCTGAATGAGATCTAAACAATGTTTTGCTCCAGTCCTGGGAAATGTTAATATTAAATGGTGAGATTCTTATGCTCCAGAGGCTAGATGGCTGAGGGTCTTTTTGGATTGATGAAACTTGGATGCCTTAATCCTGCCTAAGTTCTGCAAGAAGGGGGTGTGTGATCTGCCTTTTGTCAGGAGACACAGCACATTCTACCTCTCCCAGTAAAAATAGTTTTATTACAGGAAAAACTTTTGCAATTCTGGTCTTGTCCTGCCTCGAGTGTAAATATCTCACCAACTTGTTTTTCTTTTTTTTTACAGGTTATTTGGAAAGAGACTACTTTGCTGAACAGAACAACTCAAGATGACTTGTGATTCCTGTTCTACATGGGAGCCAGTCTGGATTGGTATGTTGGGAGTTTTTTCTTACTTACCAAACTCATTTGTAGTGATAGCATGTATAATCCCAAGGTCTACTTAAAATTTAGGAAGCTTCCGACTTGTATGTTAATAACTAGGTGAAGACTATGAATTAAAAGAGTGTGTTTTCAGTTATGTTTTCAATGGTTACTGTTCTAGGTACTACAGCATTTAGTTAGCTCTTCAACATGAATATGGTTAATATGACCTTTGAACTAGTGAGAAAGTTAGAAGTCAGGGGAAATATTGTGACAGCACTAGAAATATAGAACTTTATAAGTCCTTTCACATGATCTGCAAATTGGGAACATGGTTTTTCCCAAGAGCGAAGAAAATATAATTATTTTTTATATTTTTGTGTATTTGTGGTTTAGAATAGTCATGAAGATTCCCATGGCTGACATTTCTTGACAATTAATGCCTGTCTGAATTAAGGACAGGAAAAAATACCCTCAAGAGGGCAATTAGTTGTACTTAATGACCGAAAGCAGAGGTGGCTGTTTCCCATAATAATTTCCTATGAAAATTGCCACAGTAGTGTATATAGAGTGGAAAAAAAGGACAATTTCCTAAGTTAAACTAATGCCTCTTGTGAATAGTTTCATGGGTCATCTGCTCATGCAGTGTGGTTTATTAGTTTCAATTTAGGATATGTAAATAGGTATTAAAACTGAAAATTGCTAGTTCCTTTTAGGAGGAACAGTTAGGTGAGTAAGAGCGTTGTCCCTGCTGATTCGTGCTCTGACTCATTGTTTGCGCTGGCTTTAGCAGAAGGGACTCTATTGCAATAGATTCCTGCCTCTACTTAATGGCACAAGAAACTGCTTGATTCCTGTTGTGAGTGGAGTATTTCCTGGGGTGCTTTCTGCAATAATAGGGTGTCAGAGTATACTTTGGTATTTTGTACCAACATGTAACTCTTTTTGAAAACAAAATAAGCTCATGGCCTTTGTGTTTGTTGCTGACTTTATCCCTTTTTCCCCTAAGAATATTTTTTAATGTTGGTTTGGTTGGGGTTTTTTATGCTGCAACAATTGTTTTTGCCAAATTTTACCTTTGAAATAAAACCATTGATAGCAACTATAAATCATGCAGAAATTTCCCATTTATGAGCACTTAAAACATCCCTGAGAAGTAAGAAAGATCACTGTACCACTCATTGCTGGCTTCAGGTTTTTTGAATAAGAATGATTTCTGTGTGCTGGACCAAATCTTGGTGCTGGGCAGTACTGAAAATATGCTTACTTTTAGCAGTTAAATCATTGAACATTTTGGCAGCTGTTCACAGTGTGTTGATCTGTATCAAACATAAACTTATTATGGTACTGTTATGTTCCCTGTTTTGTCTATGTTGGACTTACTGGTTTTGACTGATGTTGGCTTTTCATGTAAGATCTAATCTTCCATTTCTGGTTGAGCATGCTATCCAAATTTTGAACGGAAACCTTTTAGCTTCAAAAGCTGTTAAAAACAGACACCATAGTTCTAGCAATAATTATATTTGATGAATAAAATTTGTGTTACTTAGCTTTAAGTGTGTACTTCATTGAAATAATTGTGTCTATTATGTTCCATAAAAAGAAAGTTGCATATGAGTGAGAACCTTGCTTGAGAGAAAGTGTGCATACCCAGTAATTTTCAGGACTGAAATGGAAAAAAGTGATTGTGTGAAGCTTTTCTGCATCTGAAAAGAATCAGTGAGAGTACATGTTCCAAAAGTGAGAGTGCTGTGACAAAAAGGTAGCTGCCTCTTGCTTGAGTACTTTGACCATCAATAAGCTTACCCATTTAAACTACCAAAGCATGGTTGTCTTTTACGAGGTATGTGATTACCATTCAGCAGTGACTCTGGCTTTGAAATGACAGGATCTGTCTTTCTTGAACAGCAAGTGAGGACTGAAATGACTTGAATTTATGGTCTGAATTGCCAGTCACTTTTACGAAGGGTGATAGCCAAGAAAAAGCGTTATTAAGTTGCCTGCAAGGTTAGATAAGTGTAACTCCAACACACATTTGAGCATGCAGATTCAGTATGCGGTGCATGGAGAGATTTCATACCTCAGAGTGATAAACAGAGTTATAGAGAGAAGGGTGCTGCTGGGAAACCATCAGGAAGCAGTGAGCACAGGAACAACACTCAAGAGTTTCTATCTACCTGGGATCCAAAGCCTGCAGTTCTCTTGTTAGATTAGGTGTCTTTGTAACAGCTGATCACCCCTCACTCTTTTGTTCCTTCTTGAAAAGAAGAGAGGGCTGATGACTTATGCAACAAATGGCTAACACTCCCTTCCCAAATTTAAGCACTTGGCTGGGTCCAGGCAGCAGCTTGCATGAGTTCGTTATCCTCCCCTTCTCTTAACGCTGTGCAGAAAAGCATAGAAGCTTCGCACTGAGGGGGTAGAAAGCACAAAGCAGGAGGTAGCTATTTGTTTAGAGAGCTGGGATAGTAAGACAACATATATGAAATTAGTTTTCTTAGTCACTTTTTCTGGATTTGTTAGGAATAGTCTATAGACACCTGAGAGGCCTTTTTACTTTGCTATATACTGGATGCTACTGGCTTGAGGAATGCAGGGTAGCACAATCTTTTTGACTAAATAAATGGTGCAAAACACATGTGCTTCTGGTCTGGTTCCTTGTGTTTAGAAGGACAATTTGTGATAAAGCAGTATTTTCTAAAACTTTGATTTTTTTTTTTTTTTTTTAATTTTTATTTTTAATTTTTTTACCTTGGAACACCGGAACATTTGCAGTTGTTTTGGGGGTTGTAGTGTATGGGAGTTTGTTTTTTGTTTTGTTTTTTCTTTTTTTTTGGGGGGGGGGACTTTTGGGTGCGATTGTGGGGTTTTTTGTTCGATTTTTGTGGTGTGGTTTTTTTTTTGTTTTTCCTCTTTAGAGCTTTTATGATGTGTGCTGTCATCTAAGGTTCTGTTGAACTTTATAAATCGGAGTGCAGAGCTGTGTGCCATAAATATGTTTAAAGAGATGAACATACTGGAAAGAGCCCAATGAAGGGCTACAAAGATGATGAAGAGACTGGAACATCTTCTCTGAGGGAAAGCCTGAGAGAACTTGGACTGTTTAGCTTGGAAGAGAGAAGGCTCAGGGGGATGTTATCAGTGTGTATGAATACCCATAGGGAGAGTGCAAAGGGGACAGAGCCAGGCTCTTTTCAGTGATAACCAGTGACAGGACCAGAGGCAATGGACACAAACTGAAACACAGGATGTTTGTCCTAAGTATCAGGAAAGCTTTTCCGTTGTGAGTGTGACTCGGCACAGGTTGCCCAGACAGGTTGTAGAGTATTCATCCTTGGAGATACTCAGAAGCTGTCTGGACATGGTCCTGGGCAACTGACTCTAGGAGGCCATGATGGAACGGTGGGGTGGGACAAGATGACCTGTAGAGGACTTGTTCAACCTCAGTCCCTCTGGGATTTTGTGATTCCTTTGGTTTTCCTATTGTAAGAGACAACAATAATTCGTTTCCCTGTGCCACTAATAATTCTGTAGACCTCTATGATACCTTTTTTCAGTCACTTTTGAATAGACATCAGGTGGAGCAGAACTGAATATAGCACTGAGGATGAGATGTGCCATAGAAGTGTATTGTAGCAGGTACTGCATATGAATTTATGGTGTATGTAGGTAGCTCCTGCTTTTCTTCTCTGTTTCTTTGCTAACAATTCTGAACACTTGCATGATGTTTTCATAGACTATCAAAACTTGAAGATCTGTCTGTCTTCTGGATGGTAATTATTGGCTTAGCATCTGTTACTGTACCTATAACTTTTTTTCTGTACATGCATAGTTTCACTTCTAGTAACACTAAATTTTATCTGGCAGTCTATTAGCTTGTCACTAACTGTCATAAGATCCATCTGTACCTGTTTATAGTTGACCTTTTTTTTTATTAAATTGCTCTGAAAAACAGTTCATGTTCATCATCAGCAAATGTTGTGGTTTCACATTTGCCTCTTTTCGCCTGTAGGTTGAAGAGTGTGAGCCCCAGTATAGGTTATCTTTGTAGGATCATTCTGCTGACCTTTTTTCCACTGCAAAACTAACTGCTCCTTCATTTCCTATTTTAAACTGATTATTGTCTGTGAGAGGGCTTTATATTTCTCTAGTGGCAGATTAGTTTCTTTCAGAGCCTTGGTGGAAAGACCTTGTCAAAACCAACCTGAAATGCAAAACATACCTTTGCTGGCTTACTGCTTGCAGAGCTCTAAAAGACACTGCCCCAGGGATCTAATTTTCTGTACTCCATGATTTTAAATCCAGAATTATTTGTTGAATTTATGCTCTTTTGCAGTCCCTGCAGAATGCTACAGCTTCCTTCCCTCTTCAGTGTTCTTGGCTAGTGGAATTGTAAACCTTGGAGGAACTTTGGGTGAGATTTTCATGTTCATTGTTAAAATCCTTGCTTATTTGTTCTGGAAAGCTATGTTAACCTTTCTGCGGTTGGTTACGGATTTTATTCTAACAAATATGTTAAAGACAACTAGTAAAGAAAGGTTTATAAAGACTGAAGAGAGAAATTTTGGCTACTTTATATGCTTTAGCCTGTAATTAGCATTAAGACTTCCTCTAGAGGAGTCACTGTAAAATAAAAATTAGAGGGGCTGAATGGAGAGAAAAGGAAAATCTAGACTAAAGTTAACAAAATTTGTCATTTTTGTGAAATGTCAACACACATAGCTGAGTATACTCTTGCTGAGTTTAACAATCTTTGAAATATAATAGGATAAACAAGAAAATTATTACATTCCCTTCCATTCAAGCAGGAAGACCTCTAGAAAGTGGAATTTGTATTACTCTGTATCCTGGGTTCAGCTGGAAAGTTATTTTTCTTCTTCCTAGTAGCTGGTGCAGTGCTGTGGTTTGGCTTTAGTCTGAGAACAATGCTGATAACACGCCAGTGTTTTAGTTGTTGCTAAATAATGCTTACCCTAATCCAGGACTTTTCAGTCTCATGCTCTGCCAGTGAGGAGGGGCACGGGAAGCTGGGAGGAAGCAGAGACGAGACACCTGGCCCAAACTAGCTAAAGGGGAATTCCATACCACAGCACATCATGCCCAGTATATAAACTGGAGGGAGTTAACCCAGAAAGCCTGGGTCACTGTGAGTTGGGCTGGGTATTGGTCAGCAGGTGGTGTGCAATTGTATTGTGCATCGCTTGTGTATTGGTTTGGGTTTTGTTCCCCCCCCCCCTTCTCTTTTTTGTATTCTCTCCCCTTGGGGTTTACATTCTTTCAGTTCTCCCCCTTCTTCCTGCCTAGAGATGGGGGGGGGGGGGGGGGGGGGGGGGCAGGAGAAAGGAGGGGAGTGAGTGGCTGCATGGTGCTGAGTTACCAGCTGGGCTTAAACCATGGCACTCTCGGTTTTCATGGAAGGTTTTGGCAGAGGGGTCTACAAGGGCCGGTTCTATGAGAAGCTGGTAGAAGCTTTCCCTGTGACTGATAGAGTCAATGCCAGCCAGCTCCAAGGCAAACTCACTACTGGCCAAGGCTGAGCCCATCATTGATGGTGGTAGCAACTTTGGGATCACATAGTTAAGAAGGGGAAAAAGTTACTGTGCAGGAGCAATTACAGCCAGAGAGAGGAGTGAGACTGTGAGAGAAACAGCTCTGCAGACACCAGGGTCAGTGAAGGAGGGGAGGAGGTGCTTCAGGCACTGGAGCAGAGATACTCTTGCAGCATGTGGTGCAGACCATGGTGAGGCAGGCTGTCCCCCTGCAGCCCATGGACGTCCATGGAGGAACAGATACTCACTTGCAGCCTGTGGAAGACCCCACACGAGAGCAGGTGGATGCCCAAAGAAGCTGTGATCCCATGGGAAGCTCATGCTGGAGCAGGCTCCTGGCCGTACCTGTGGCCCCGTAGAGGAAGGAGCCCACACTGAAGCAGGTTTGCTGGCAGGACTTGTGACCCCTATAGGGAGCCCATGCTCTAGCAGTCTGTTCCTGAAGAACTGCACCTTATGGAAGGAACCCATGCTGGAGCAGGGGAAGAGTGTGAGAAGTCCTCTCCTCTGAGGAGGAAGGAGCAGCAGAAACAGTGTGTGATGAACTGACTGCAACCCCCATCCCTCTTCTCCCAGTGCAGGAACAAAGTTGAGCACAGAAAGAAAGGAGGGGTATGTTTTAGTATTTTTTTTTTTCTCATTATCCTTCTCTGATTTGTGATTGGTAATGAATTAATTTCCCCAGTCAAGTCCGTTTTTTCTGTGATGGTAATTGGTGAGTGATACCTCCATTTCGTTCTTTCTCCCCATGAGCCATTCCCTCTCATGTCCAGCTGAGGAGGGGGAGTGATAGAGCTGCTGTGGTGGGAGGAAACCTGGTGTCTATCCAGGGTCAACCCACCACAGACTCAATGATATTAGGATATTTATAATAGTATCCTCTGATACCGCTGAAAATTGCAAGAGAGAGGTTAATAATTTGTGTTGGAAAAAATGCAGAAGATGGTCTGGCCCTGGAAATCATCTAGTTGATAGGAGCTTGCAGGTAAGAAGGGAATAGCTTTTCTATGGAATGAGAGGAGGAGGTCATAGTACTGCTGTTTCTTGATGAATTCTTGGCAGCAGCCTGGACAGGCTTGCATTTGGATCACTGGAAGTCCAAACTAGGGACTTTGTTCTCTTAAAGTCCATTTCTTTGTTGGTGAAGTATTACCCAGAACCTCCAAAATACAGGCAGGATTTGTGTTGCCAGATAAAAGCTTCTTGGTCACCATGTGCAGAGACGGAGGAGATAGATTGCCCTCTGAAGATGCCTATAATCCTCTTCTGACTAAACACACTAAGACAGCTTGAAAGTGACTGTTACACTCATCCAGAATGAATGAGGTGAATTCCACTTTATGTTTCTGGGCATTGAATCTTTCTCGTTTCCTGCTTGATCAGGTGCCAGAGTACTCTGGGAGCATTTAATTTAGTAGTCCAAGATAGAGGAGAGGAAGTAGCGCTGAAAAGGGGAGACAATTCCTTTGCATTTTATTTGTCTCTAAGAGCAGTACATGTCATAATACAATAGACACAATAATAGTACAACAAAACAGTACACAAACTATAAAAAGAAATGTTTGATTTTATCAGCAAAATGAGGAGGGAAGAAGTTCAGCAGAAGATCAAAGGATTAGATTTACAAGGAAAAAAAGAGTGTGCATGTGGTTAAATTATGTGGAATACCAAGATGAATTAACAAGGACATGTCTAGACCAGTGAAAGCAGGAAAGCTTGCTGCAGGGGGAAGGATTTTAGCAACTGAAGAATAGCTAGTTTCCTGCACCTTGATATGAGTCAGTAACTAAATGAAACAAATTGAGAAATACTTTAATCCTGTGGACAAGTTATTTAATAATTAATAACAGATTAGGATGTTTTACATATTTTTCCTAAGGCATCTGCTGCAGCTGACTGACATGGTACAAAAGATCCTGTATTATTTAGGATTTCTCAGATAGGGAGGCTTTTCCATGTTTACCAAATGGGCAGATAGGCGATACTGATATTATTTAAGCTGTTTGGAAATATTGAAGTGTTCAGCTGTAGGCAATTTCATAACAAAATCATGAAGTTAGCTTAAAAATCATGAGATTTAAATAACGATACTGATTTGATTTATTCTCTCTTCATCAGTTAAGTTTGTTTTCAAACAAAGTTTTCCAGTCCTGGTTATGGTAGAAAAAAGTCAGCGAGTGAGAGTGTTGTACAGTATCAGCAAGACTACCAGAGCAGGGTCTGTAAGAAAAACACCAAACATTATGAGACTCCCATGACTTCTGCTTAAGTAAATTCAGTTGACCTGAAGTGTAAATATATATGAAGGATCCCTTTGTCATTAAGGAAAGCAGAGCAATTGTTTGATTCCCATTGGTTTCAGATTTCTTTAGATTTCTTTATCCAGATTGCTGTTCCCTAGTACCGTGACTCCTTGAATGAAGGTGTAACCTAGTTTTACATTCCTGTATACAGTCCACTTTGCAATATTTATCCTGTTTCTCCATTCTTTTGCAGATGGAAATACTGACACAAATATAAGAACTTTGATGCTTTCAGACTTTGAATTTTGATTTGTTAAATGACCAGGAATAAGATACTGCCTGAGCAAGATGAAATGCCTTGAAGACCTTTGGTTCTGCTTTCATTTCTCCTGAAGCAATGGTTTTCTCAGCAATGTTGACGCTGGCCCACTCTGGGACCTCAAATGCTACTTTTATTGTTTATGAAAATGCCTATACGAATTTTACCACTCCACAGTTCTTGCTTCGTAGTGGCACAACACAGCCGTCGAGATATGGTTCAGGTGCTGTACTCACCACTGAGAGAAGTACTTTTCTGGTGAATGCTACAGCTATCCTGCCATCACAGGAAGTTTTCAGGAGCTTGAGTTTGCCACTCCAGATCATTCTTTCTGCTGCTATGATATTTATCCTGTTGGTTTCTTTCCTTGGAAACTTTGTTGTTTGCCTCATGGTCTACCAGAAGGCAGCTATGAGATCTGCAATTAACATTCTCTTAGCAAGCCTGGCTTTTGCAGACATGCTGCTGGCAGTGCTGAACATGCCTTTTGCTCTGGTAACAATCATTACCACTCAGTGGATTTTTGGGGATATATTCTGCAGAGTCTCTGCCATGTTCTTCTGGCTTTTTGTCATAGAGGGGGTAGCCATTCTTCTTATTATTAGTATTGACCGATTTCTTATCATAGTTCAGAGGCAAGATAAACTGAACCCTTACCGTGCAAAGATTCTCATTGTACTTTCCTGGGCAGCATCTTTTGTTGTTGCTTTTCCATTATCAGTAGGGAATCCTAATCTGCAGATACCCTCAAGAGCACCTCAGTGTGTCTTTGGCTACTCGACAAGCCCAGGTTACCGAGCCTACGTGATAGTTATCTTGCTAATTTCTTTTTTTATTCCATTCCTGGTAATGCTGTATTCTTTTATGGGCATACTCAACACCGTCCGCCACAATGCAGTTCGTATCCATAGCCACCCTGATAGCATATGTCTCAGCCAGGCCAGCAAACTTGGTCTCATGAGCTTACAGAGACCTTTTCAGATGAATATTGATATGAGCTTTAAAACTCGTGCCTTCACAACCATCTTGATTTTGTTCCTTGTCTTCATAGTCTGTTGGGCACCCTTCACCACTTACAGCCTTATAGCCACATTCAACAGCCACTTCTACTACAAGCACAACTTCTTTGAGATAAGCACTTGGCTCCTTTGGCTCTGCTACCTCAAGTCTGCACTGAACCCACTGATATACTACTGGAGGATTAAGAAGTTTCATGATGCATGCTTGGACTTGATGCCCAAATACTTCAAGTTTTTGCCACAGCTACCTGGCCATACAAGACGGCGCATTCGACCGAGTGCCATCTATGTGTGTGGGGAGCATCGGTCGGTAGTGTGAAGCTGCAGTTGTTTGACAATGATTGTTATTTTCTGGGTTTATTTTTTTTAGGCTTTAGGTTGAATTTTATTTTGTTTAATATGGCTTTTTCAGTGTGGCCATATCTTATAACTTACTTAATTTTCCCAGTACTCTGTGCAATTTTGGGAGGTAAGATAGAGGGAGGGAAAGTGGTTAGTTATACTTGGGTTTACTTCCAGAATACAATGTAAACAAAATAACAAATGTTACCTCTAGGATTCCATGGAAATCCATTCTTTTAAATGAAAAACACATTTGTAACATTTTGTCAGGTTTAGGCTTACTAGGCCTGCAATTCCATCTAATTGTAGGGACTTTTTTTTTTTGTATGCTGCTAAGATACAGTGTATTTAGTTAGTGTAATTTCTCTGAAAAATGTTGCTGCTGTCTGCCAATATATTGGAGCCAAAAAGTCTCATTAGATTACTCCTATTTAATTTTAACAATATTTCAGAAGTTTTCATGGTGACACTAGAGAACTTCTTCCTTTTTTTAATCTTTACTTTAATACTTCCATTAATATTTTTTGTGCACTTTACAAAATTTACTATGGAATTTGTTCATTGGAATATTTTGTTCTGTATTGAAGGGGTATTATTATCATTATTTGTTATATTGCTGAATTTCAATGAAGGACCAATGTAAGCTCTAGGAGGGCAATTTATGTTGGTATAGCTACGCCTACAGTCACAGATTCACTGTTTTTCTAACAATTATCACATGTAACATTAACTGCTCTGTTATCAGGGGAGTTGGAAGGAAAAAATGGAGGAAAGAAAGGGATGAAAATACCATGTCCGGAGGCTTAGACTAACATAAAATGTAGAAAAATAGAGTTTATGTGAAAATTATCCCAGGGGAAAGGGTGGTTGTAGTTGTTAGTTTAGGTTGTTATGAGCTATCTAAACCTGATGGTATGCCTGAGAACCTATCTGAAATTGTGACTTTGGGCCTGCAATTTACACTCTGTTGGTATAATGCTGTTTCTGCTTGGAGCTCATGTAAGGCTAGTTGTGCTCTGAAATCATGCTGTCAGGCATTCATTGGGATAGAATTAGAAATAGTAAACCAGCAAATAGATAGATAGCACATGAATCATAGTTGAGACTAGGACTTCGTCTTAATAGTAATTACAGGGAAAAAAGCCTCAGCTTCTTTTCCGGTTTAAGTATTAGGCTGAAACCATAAACTGATAATCCTAGAATGGCTTGTGTTAGAAGGGAACTTGGAAGTTCATCTAGTTCCAACCCCCCTGCCATGGGCAAAGACACCTTCCATTAGACCAGGTTGCTCTGAGCCCCGTCTGATCTGGCCTTGAGCACTGGCAGGGATGGAGCATCCATAACTTCTCTGGGCAACCTGTTGCACCCCACAGTGAAGAATTTATTCCTAATAACCTGATCTAAATCTACCCTCTTTCAGTTTAAAGCTATTATTCCTTATAACAGTTGGCCAGCAGTGTTTGCTGTGGATGCAAGTTGAATTCTCCATTTTCCCCCCATCCTACTTTACGTTGACTTTTTTCCTCTATACTGTTATCTGCCTCAAGATTTTACTCTGCTCTTCTCATCTATTAGGCATCAGGTTCTCTCATTGAAATGCCAGATCACCGTTATGATTAATGTCAGGCTATCTCAGTACCTGCCTGGAAAGCAGAAAGGCAAAGGTTTTCCTTGATGATAGCAATCCAGACTCAGCTTTTTTTTTTTTTTTTTTAAATCTGCTAAATAAATATTTAAGGCAAGTAAAATTAAGACTAAGGTTTGGGCCTTGAAGTGACACCTCCCCCCCCCGGGGAAGAGTGCCTGCAGAACAGGATTAATGTACACCAAACTTGCCAACCAGGGTTTGAGCTTCTCTTGCTTCTATCTGTCACTCAGTACCCCAAAGCATGAGGACCTCTTCATTGTTCTCGTACCAGGTGAGCAAGTAATAGCAATTTTACCCATTTCTATCTATCTACACAGTATAGGGCGTTTCCTTCATGCTTATATCCATGTGTATGAAGGAGGTGCCCTGTTCTGTGTGGATGTCCAAGGACTGCTTAATTTCTGAAGTCAAGTAAGCATTTACACCCCAGATTTTATTTAGGTCTTCAGTGAAGAACTGAGTAAACAGTTATCTCTGTTCTCTTCTTCAACAACAAGCAGTGAAAGTGTTGGCAATATTTATATTTTAGGAGTATAATAGGAACAATTTTGAACTTAGTAATTTATTTTATTTTTTTTTTAAAGCTGCTAGCTGAGGTTATGGGTTACATGTAAAGGCACCCAGGCAGTGGCGGTGCTATTGATACGTGTGCTGTAAGTTCCTTGTCAACTTCACTGATCATGGTATGGATTTTTCTCATCAGAATGACAGGCAGTAAAGGAGTTCTTCTGTAAACCAGAGTGTTTTAGCTTGTCTTTGCGGTATAGATTTATTTCTCCATTACATTTACATTGATAGTGGAAGTTTATGACCTGGTTAGTATGGATTTTCTGTTCCAGAGCTGTCATGCCTGTTTTTCTCTGAAAGCAGCAAAATTGTATTTAAAGCTAATGTAATAGAGTGAAAGCATACACTGTCTAAGATGGCAGGAACAGGTATTTTTGCTGTCTTCCAGAGCTATAATGTAAATTGTTTGAATGAATGTTGTAAAACATGGCAATTCAAAAAGTAAAGAAGATGAGTAATACAGGAAGGTTAGTGAAATTACTTTCTTGAAAGGGGAGGGGAAAACATTCTGTTGGGATTTCATAATCTCTGATAAAGTACTGGCTGTGAAGTAGAAATTGCAAACATCAAAGGAGGTTAATTTATCTTGATAATTTAGTGCTTGTTTACACTGTCTATAACAGGGTTTCCACTCAGAGCTGCATCTGCGGATACTTGGAAAAAAGAAACCCAAACTGAGTGGCCCAAATTCAGAGATGACTTACTTGGTGATACAGTATTCACACTTAGCCGGTTTTAGAGGTGATCAGAGCATACAGTGAACAAAAGGGTGTTCAAGAAAAAAAGAAACAAGGTAGCATAGAAGTATCCCCAGGGTAATGATGTGTTTACAGATCCATTTGAGCTATTGTGTCTAGTACAGGGTCTTTAGAACAGTGCCTTGCTAATTACAGCTGAAGTCCTAGGACCAAGTTGGAAGCCACTAAACTTAGTCTTGCTGTCTGGGATCCTGCCGAGATCACCATAACCTTGCTATCTGTAATGTTAAAACACATGTGTTGGCTGGATTGGGGCTATGGAGGCATTTTAGTGGGCTTGACCAACACCAACGATTTTAAAACTGAAATTGATCTTTCCTGATTCTACTGGGAAACTATAATTTTCTTCCTCTTCAGAAATTACACTCATTACTAAACTGTTGTTCTCCCATTATATTTTCAGAAATCTTCGGTCTGGAGGATTGAAATGAATGTATTTTCAATTATGTTGCAGTTTAATTCATTCTGTTAAAGCATGCTGCTTACACAAGACTCATTTGTACAAATTGACTGCTAAAATGATTCTTTTGTACTAAGTTGTGTATCTGTGACATTTGTTATTCATGTAAAAATGTATATAGAGAAGAAACTTGTTTTGCCTCTTACTGCTTTCTGTTACTATTTTTTTTCACTTGTGTGCTTAATGCTTTCATAGTTTCTTTTATTTGGACATATGCATAAACAACTGGAAGATTTCGGTGGTCTTTCTGCAACAATCATTCAACAATGCCCTCCTTGAAAGAGATTTTGATTTAATTTTGTGTGGAAAAATAAAAATTCAGAGCACAAGTTTGTTGCAGTTGGAATGGTGAGAAATTTCTTAAATCCAATTTTCCAGGAGTCACTACTTCGCCATTATCAACTGGTTTGATATTTTTTTGAGGAGTAGTCATTTTCTGATGTGAAGAAACTTGAATTACTATTTTAAAACAAGCTATTAAGTAGAATGGCATTCTCTTTTCTGTATATATTGCATCTGTGAAAATACCTGAGAAACAAACAAAAAAGAAAAAATAAACATGAGCATTCTCCAAAAATGTAGCAAAAATCTGTAGAATTGCTCTATCTTTGTGCATTTGCAGGCTTTTTGGATTTATTTTCAGTTTCAGACACTTTATCCATATCTTAAATAACAAAGGTTGTTTGCCTGATTTAGATGGTTTTCTTTAAGCCAATATGTTTCTTGTATAAAGAATTTACAGAATATTCTCTTCTGAGATATTGGAGTAGAGATGTGTCAGTCTATCTAAAACAAATGAAATAACATCCAGGAAAAGAGAGAGCCTAAAAAGAAAATAATTTTCCTAAAACCGCTGCCTGAGCTGGGTGTACTACCTTTAGCTATGACTGAGTAATTAAGATCATCTTACTGTGCAATAAATAAAACAGGCAGTGGTACTGCATGGCATGATTCATTTCAGCACAAGACAGTGACCTTTATGATTCAAGTGCTGCATATTTGTATGTGATGGATTATTCCTCATATTAGTAGAATGAAAAATGTTCAGCATCTTGACTGTTTTGGGGAAGTTTTCAGCTTGCTAATGATTTAAAAAATATCCTGCTGGAGTAATTTCTCTAAATGATAAAGGGTCAAGACATGTCCCTGAAGAACACCTGAAAGGGGATGCATGTTTCCAGTTGCTTAGGTATGTGGGCAGCTGAGCAGAGCCATTCCTAAATTTGAGACTCTTTCCCCCTACCTCTGCAACAACCACATCTTAATCCCTTCTCCTCTCCTGGTGCCCTCCCCAAGGTAGTGCTTTCTGTGCTGCTGTGTTGCAGCAAGTATGCCAGTGGCAGAAGATATTGGTGCCGCTGGCAGGAACACGTGGAAGTGCCTGGAGAAGCTGCAGAGCCAGGAAACCTCTTTCACCCAGTGCCACTCCCTCACATCTTGAGTATAGGTTTGGACCATCTGTAACAGGCTGAAGGCGAGTTTTAACACCTTTGGTTATAAGATTAGGGCTGTCAGGGAAGAGCAGTTACAGAAACATGTATATTTGCCACTAGTGCTAGTGCAGGGTTCTGGTTTAATCCCTAGTAGAATTACAAGTTCTGTTCTTTTGGCAACAGAGCTGCAACAGTCCATGGCCAGTTCATGGCTGAGTAAGTATCCTTTAGCTGATCTGTTTCTCTCTGGCACACTATCTGGTTAGCATCCACCAGGACAAAATTTCATACAGACTGCTCAAACAAAAATGAAGACAGCCACCACTCTGCTTGGATATGAGGCAGGGCAGGGGGAAGAGCTGTGTATTGAAGGAAAACGTGAGTTGTAATGGGTGATGCTAATCAACTGCCCTCTACAGAGGGAGTTATGGATACTTTATGCACAGAATATTGGGTTTTATTCTACTTTATTATATGACAGCGAATGTAGCTTGATATCACATCACTAACAGTACCACAGATAAGTGGCAGTATTCATAAATATCAAAGTAGAACTTGTTCCTGTTTTACTTTATTATCATGTCTATATAAGCAGCTTTGCTGGTGTGTGGGTGCAGAACATAGCAAATAATGAGACATACTCCTCATTTAATTGGTGCTCTGCCTTTAGTAGATTACTGGTGTTCAAACCTCTGTGGTTGACCTGAAATAAAATTAAACCTGTTCACCAACATGAGTAGGAATTCCACTAACACTGCCCTGTCTGTCAAAAGAGAAGGTCTAGTGAGAGATGACAGTAATTCCTCCAAGAGTCAGTTAATCTGATCTCCAAAGGGGTATAATCACAGCTGCAACAAATTTAACAGTGTCTCCTTTTGATTTACTGGGGCCAGGCTGTGTGTCAGAGACAGAGATGGATGGACTTTCTTATGTGATGTAGATAATATAAAGCTTATTTTGTAAATTCTAGTTTCAGATGGGCATTCCAGTGTTCACTGCCATCAGTGCTGCAGCATTTCTGGATATATGCAGAAGCAGATGTATATGGTGGCATACATCTGTGATATTTTACCTATTTATAGCATAGGCAGCACCGCTGCTCATTTGTAGTCTTTTTTGTGATTTCTGGTGATAACTGCACTAGAAACAAGATTGTGCATTTACAGCTTCATTCACTTCCTCTAGTGCTTTGTAGACAAGAGGCACAAAATACCTGCACTTTTAACCGTGATATGTATTTTCTCCTGCAAAAGTAAACTGGTCTCAGTTTGGGCCAATTTGTTTGAAGGAATTAAACAGTTTTGCTTCTATGTAACAGCATCTACAACAAGATTTAGTTTTGTTCAGATAGAA